AATGCTCCCCGGCCCTCTGGACTACCTCGAACAACTTCGTCTCCCATAGCATCTCGAGCTCTTCATAACCTAGGGAAAGCGTCTCTGGTTCTATCATTACGTTGTATATAATCCACCGCATCTCCACCTCTATCTCATCCGCGTCGTTGGATGTAGGCTTCACTCTAGGCTCACTCGGCGGCGGTGAAATCGATGTAGGCTTGTGTCCAGGCCGGCCTAGTCTGCCTCCGTCAGCTCTCAACTCTGGCACGGTCCCCAATATTCCATTCATGCCCATCCACACACGATAGAATTGCTCTACCCACTTCCTCATGCCTCCGACGTTGCTCTCAACGTTCAATATCCTGCTTCTCATCAAAGTTCCCAAAGCTATCCCGGTGTATGACGGTTCGGCGCCAGGCCTCGTCCCCGACAGCACCTGTGAGTCATATATTCCCGCCTTCACAATGTCGTACACTTCTTTGGGCGTGATCTCATCGGTAACCTCCCTCGGGCACGTCGCTCTAATCATCCTGCGTATCACCTGTACCACTATCGTTGTCCATGCCATCGGTGGGGCTCCATAACAGCGAATCCAGTGCTGCATTTCTATCAAATGCCCCTCCCCCAGCACCTGTCCTGCCCTCGTATTCCTCGACCATGGGGCCTCTATCACAGGCGATCCCTCTTCTTCCATCCTCAATCTCAATATCCCCCCGCTCTCTCCAGTACCCACGCATTCCACTCGATCCAGTTCTGTCCCGTCGGCAACTACTCCCACCGTGCCTCCAGATCCTATCACCATCGGTCCTTCGCCACTGTCTCCGCTTCTCGTTTCCTGCTGCGTCTCTCTATCCGAATATTCCTGCTCGGACTTGAGGTCGCTCAGGGTCTTGATGTTGCTACCCGTCCCAGCACCACCCTTCCATCTGGGAGCCTGCATAACCGCCCCCTTGGTATCGCCTCGTGTTGGCACCGGTGGAGCCGGCGGTCTATCCCCTTGATCTCCTATCCCAGCGGTTCCCCTAAGTGCTCCGCCATCTCTGCCATCTCCCGCCTTTTCCCCGGCACTTTTTCTCTTCTCGTCTCTTGCTTGCTTCTCTTGTCGTTGGTTCGCGAGCTCCTGAGCACTCTCGAGCAGCTCCTTCCTCTTCTTCGCCTCCCGGTTTTCTTTCTTCGCCTTCTTTTGTTCTGACCGACTCCTCACGGTGGCGAAACCCTCGTCACTGCCTTCCTTGCACTCCTCAGTTATCGATGCGTCTCCCTCTCGAGCAGATTGGTTCTCCGGTCTATCCTCACCCATAGCATCATCCTCTTCTCCATCCGACTCTGCATCGTCTTCCATCATCTCTGCGTCATCTGCCATCGCCTTCAGCTGCCCGATAGCCGCCATAGCCCTTAGAGCTTGATACTCGGGGTCCTTCATGTGGAAGCCGGCCGCCGTGTAAATGATCACTTTCATCCGGTGCCAAGAACCCCTATCTCCGGCTGACACACAGTGAGCTTCGGACTTACCACACATTGTCTTCCACACCGACTCGTCTATCCTGGCAGCCATCTCCGTATACACCCCTTGTCTATCCGATGTCCTAAGGCTCTCCGTGGCTCCCGTGATCTTTGTCTCTGGCACAATCACTTTCGTTTTCAGTGACCGGTCTGCCTTCGCCACTTCTATCCAGCGTCTGAGCCAGACTCCAACCTCTCCAATGCTATCCCTGCCCTCCTCGCTGATCACCTCCCTAATAGCTGAAGTTTCCCTATCATATAATTCCATGTCTCGCGGGGTCGGCCACATCATTCCAAACATCGAGATGAACAGGATCTGCGCCCAGAAGCCGAACGTTCGCCCGGCACTGATGTACAACTTTCCCGCGTCCACCCCCATTCGAGGAAACGCCGTACGCATAACGTTCCAAGGCAGAGTGATGATTCCAGACTTCTTCATCAGTTTATCCATGGCTTCTCCAGCCCTTATCAGCTCCTTAGCCTCCTCCCTGACTCTGTAGTTAGTGGGGAATCCATTCTCTTCGAAATTTCCGGGCCCTACCCAGAGCACATTGGCATTGGCTTTCCTGATCGTCTCCCTCGTCTCCCTCGCCACCTTGGTCTTAGTGTCATCGTCCGTAGCCTCGAACCGTCTAACCTCGTCTATTGCTCGGCGAGCATTCCCTGCTGCCATTCCAGCCGGGGCCAATACCACAACAATGTTCGTCACTTGATTCCCTCCCATGCCCTTCGAGACGCATTCCTTGCACACTTCCTGAACCTTCTTGTACGCACCCTGGTAGGTCATCTCCTGCGTTCCTGTCAATTTGTGTGTAATGAACGACATACTCTCCGCGGCCTTTCCATAGTCTCCGTGCGCCTTCAATAGCATTGCTATCCACTCTCGGACTTCCCCTGGTGACGCCGGATTCTTCTTATTCGAGACGCCCTCTATCCCCTCAGGTATGATGATGTGTACGTAGGTCTTCTGATCCGCACTACATCGGAGCTGAAGTGGCGGCTTCATTCCCTCCGCCCACCATGTCACCAGCTCAGCCGCCTTGCGCTCATGGAATGCAGTAGCTATGTCAAACATCCACTCGTAGGTCTCCACCGCGGACTCAAGCTCGCTCGAAAGCGCTGGCTCCATCAATCTCCCTCCAACTCCGCCCATTCCTATGCCAATGATAGCCGCCCAGGCCTGAGCCTCGAACGCCCAGCTCTGGTCGACGTCCTCCGGTCTGTTCCACCCATATTTCCTGGGTGCCTTTTCTATCCCCAACACTATGCTTCCCACGTCCGCCATTTCCAAAACCTTGCCCATGTGGTGCGTGGCCTTATTCGCGTTCTCCATGACTTTCTCCTCTATCCCGCTGCTCTCCACACACCGTCTGTAAATGGCTGGCCCCACAAAACTCCTCCACGGCATCTTCACGACAGCGCTATCGTGTCCCGTGGCCATTGGGGCCTCTATCCCCATATACTCCAACAAACGTATCACATTGGCCCATTCACTATCCACCGGGTAGTAGTCCTTGTCTCGATCAGGCCCAGACACGCCCCCACCGCTAGGCAACTCCGCTATCCATCCCCTCATGAGCTCTATCAAACCACTTCTTGAGCCAGTTGGCTGTTCGACGACCTTCGTGACATTTTCGTCACCTTCCCGATGCAGGAACTCGTGTTCCATCTTCCAATCCACAGGGCGCTCAGGAAGAGGTCCTCGGGCCGGGCCTATAATTGCGCGCTTTTCCAGGTGATATCGCCAATACAGCCTCTCAACCCCTTGCGGGTGCTTCTCCATCAGCGCCGACATCTCACTCATGAGATGGCTATTCGCTCCTAAACCCGGGTGCTTCGGCCTACAGATGAGTGCATGCCCGATGATCTTCGTGGCCCTCATAAAGCAGAACAGTACCCCGTCTATCTCCACTCTATCCACATCCATTCGGATCTGCCCGTCAGGCACCGACGATCTCCTTGTCCCCACATCCATTTTGACATTCTTGCCTATCCTTCTGAAGCCGGCCAGTACTCTTACTATCCATCCATTCCCTAACGAATGCCATGTAGAGTATGATGCTGTACCACAGATGCTTCGTCCAAACCAGCATCCCGCAGAGTCGTTCACACTGGGAGCGCCGGTCGTCCACGTGACCAGCGGATGGCTTCGATCTATCCCACCAGATGCTATCATCGACCACAACGCCTCTAGAGACGTTCCGTGGAAAATCCACCCGGGCACATTGAACTCCTCATTCCCGACCGACATCTCCTGATTCAGCTTCTCTGCTCCGGCGTACTCGGCCTTCGTGGGTACCCACATACATCGCGAATCCGTGAAATGTTCTTTCACATCCTTAATCCCCCCGTCTGCCTGGACCTCCGGAAATGTGATCACTTCTTCGGCCAGGGACCAGTGCAACAGGTGTAGAACTGACGTCGGTCCCCCTATCTGCCATGACAGTGTATCCAGATACTCCTTCATCTGTCCATTTGCTGCATTCGCCATAACTCCGTATCCTTTTTCTCCCCCCTCGCTTCTCCGGAATTCCTCCATCACGTCTCTTCCTCTCTTCAAGTATTGGCTTTCGTAGGCCCCCATAATCTCGTCTGCCATGCCTATCACCTTGATCTTGGGCTGCGCCTCCGTCCATATCTTCAGCTTCTCCTCGCTCGACTTATGGCTGACCGCTATCCGCTCCGCAACCTGAGACGGTGGAATTGCATACTTCAATGGTCGCACGGCCAACCATGTCATCATGCCTTTGATCGCATCATCGAACGGGCTCTTCTCTGTGTCGTCCATGTGGATCTCCGCCCAATCTAGGGTCTTTCTGCTGATCCCTCCCCAGCTAGCCCTGAATGGGTCCTTGCTTCCGTTCGTGACGTCATATACACCTCCCACGGAGATGGCTATCGGTGCCACACCAGCTATCATCCTCTCATACGATCTTCCCCTCTGAAAGGACTTCTCTGTTTCATCAGTCGCGCCGATGAACTTAGGGGCCCATGGCGTATCAACGTCTCCTCCTGTGCCCGCTGTGGGCATGGCACATCCCGGCACGTCTATCCCTCTGGCCAATCGCACTCCTATCAAGTCGTTCAGCTTTTCCCTCGACAGGTTCCCGGAATCGGGACTCGCCTGAGGTGGCGGCTTCGTCGCCCCTCCATGCGACCTCGGCCTATCCCAGTTCGCTATCACCCTCTCCAGGTAGTCCGTGGCATCCGTCACAGTCGCAGCTATCAGAGGGATCTTCTCCCTTATCCACGCTTCAGGATTCCGCCTTGTACACCGTAGTACCTCCCAGAGATACATAATCTTGTGCACTCGCATTCTATCCACATCGTAGCCCACGGCCGGTCGTTTACCTCCTTTCTTCGCCGTCTTGGCCTGGGCCTCTTCCGCTCTCACACCAGCTATCCCACTGCTCATCCATTTCTTGAAGTCCGCATCGTCCTTGAAATGACTGGGGATAGCTCGTCTAGCCCATACCTCCTGCATCTCTAGATTTCCCTCCAACATCCAGTGTATTCTAGCCTGTTCTCGTTCCTTGGCTCCGACTGGCAGATACGAGTACGTCGTCACCCCTGGCACTCCATCCTCCGTCTCGGCCTTGAGGTATCTATCCGCGTCGGAAAACACTTTCTCCAGGAAGTCTATCATAGCTTGTGCTCGATCACATCGCTCCCTCTCTCCTGCATCCCTGGCCTGGCGCTCCGGACGTTGCCATCGTACCCCTACTGTCCTTGAAGACGAAGCGGTCCCAGGATCTTCGTTGCTTCCGATATCTCTATCCCGTTCACTCAGCGATACCGATCCGAACATCTCTCCCATGGCTTCACGCTATGCAAGTCGTTAGATCCGTCCTCTTCCTTACACTCGCAAACAACTCGAGGTCACACAAAAGTCGCTCTAGTCAAGACGTCGTTGAAGAGCATTACAAAGTGCTTCAATATTCACCATATCGCTACTTTCTATCCGAGCCTTTGATTCTTCATTAATGTATATGGTGCATTGTACGTCCTCTCCTTTGTCATGAAGCTCTCCTATCTGCGTCTTTCCCCGCATTCGAGCCAGTTTTCCACGTGCAGCAAGAATTCTCGCTATTCCCTCGGATATGGCGGCATCACTGCGATTGATCAGAACAATCCCGATGCCCGCAGCGATCACTCTATCGACTAGTAAAGCTAGGCTATCAGCCGCACTTTGGTCCTTTCTTCCCAGCTTAAGCTCTGCTCCGCGGGCTAGTCGAGAAGGCGAGTCAACTCGCTTCGGTGCTATCACAACTATCCCGTCGCACTCACCGACGATCGCCTCATCGACCTCCAGAATTGGCGAGTGTTTGATATCCCACACCATTTCCCAAATTATCCATCTTCCCACTATGGACTTTGCTATCCCGACGTTATCCCTGATGTCATACTCGAGCTGATTTTGGGATACCCCCCGGCACGCGGGCATAGCTAAGATGGTTCCCGTTGCGTTCCCGAACTCCTCTTCACCGAAATGTGCGGTAGTGTACATATCCCTTAACCACTCTCGTGCTTCATTGATGGCCTTGGTCATCATGTTGGCAGCCTGATACTCAGTAGGACAATTGACAAACGTGAACATGACTGCCTCGTAGAACTGGTTCAGCCTAGCTATGTCTATTCGTTGTGTTCTAGACAGGTACCTCATGTTCGGATTCTTGCCCGAGACAATCACTCTAACAGCCGCCTCATTGTCTTCTGCCACTATCAAGGGTTCTATACTCTCCTTCATCATCTCCCATAGTGCCAACCCCGGTATTCCCTGTTTCGTGATGCCATCGTGCAGGGCTACTATTTCAGCTTCAGGGGTACTTTTGGAGCACGACGTTTGCTTCTTACAGTAAGCAGCTATAGGAACGAAAGTGTGCGGTCCTTGAAGACAAAGATATACCCCCGACGTAGATCTATGGTCGTTCTTGTCGCTGGCAAGATCGGCGTCGCAGTATAGTACAAGACGGATGTCTCCTATCCTATCCCCGACCCATCCGTAGAGGCTCGTTGTGGTCGTCTCGTTGATGTATGAGATCAGTCTATGCATTCTCTTGTCACAGAGATGTGTCCAGGTCGTCAGCCTCGACGCCAGAACCTGTACTGGTCGCAGTAGGTCATACCTTCCGACTCTGGCCCCATACAAGATCTTCATGAGTACCGCAGGGGCGTGCTCTTTCAACACTCCCGGCCCCTCATCCGGCAGCTCGTACTTGGCTATCCCCATAATTTCGTTCACCTTGTCGTCTACTGGGTTCTCGTCGAACTCTGGGCGGCTCTCGTCGAGATATGGGGTCTTAGCTTTATCCAGTGGCTTAGGATATGCCGTCGAGCACAACTCTTGATATCTATCCACACACTGCTTCATGAAATCGGTAACATCATATCGAAGGATCCTGATCTCATCTGGACTATCTTCCTTCGCCTCGGCCTTCCCCACGAAATTAGGCGGTTCCTTCTTGGGCTCGATGATCTTCGTCCACTCGTGTCTCGGCTCAAACGGCGACCGAAAAGGTATCGCGCTAGCCGTGTGCAAGCATCCCAAGTATCTGCCCATACTTCGTGGCTCTTCGAGCTTGATTCTCTTCGCCAGCTTCTCCCATCCTATCGCTAAGTTCTCTTTGGGCCCCGCAAGCTTGAAGTCGTCGACGTAGATCACCAGCATCAGCTTCAGCTCCTTATGGAAGAACACACTAGGCCAATCTGAGAGGAATTCGAAGCCGACCTCAGTCACGGCCTTTTCGCAGTGCTTTTCCCAGAACCCCCCGGCATCCGGATGCCCGTATAAAGCTAGTCTCAGTGGCACCACGGGGTCGTCTATGCCCTCCCATTCATCTGGCCACCTATCCCTCGGGATCCGTATCCATGTTTTAGGCCCCCCCAACAGCGCCTGCGTGTATGCCGACTCACCGTCCGACATCTCGATGTCATGTCCTGGCAGCATCCCATAGGCATCCGCCATCTTGCCTGCCTCAAGTGTCGCGGGACATGATGTGATTTCCTGAAAGATGGCCCACTTTCCCTCCTGGTCTTTGACATGACATCCCTCAAACACAACTCTCCCCTTATACTTTCTAAGAGGATCGTCTTCAGCAAGCTCCCAGTTCTTTTCCACACAGATGTCAAAGATACGACCTACATGAGCTATTTCCCCTCTATCCATTGCCTCCCGTTGAACGTCCTTCCACGAACGCACCTCCTCCATTATCCAGACCACTTGATCCATCAGCTTTTTCCATTCTTTATCAAGCGCTGCCCGAGCCTTGGGGTTGATCGCCCTCTCAGCCTTCGTCACGGGTCTAGCGACAAGTCCGAAAACTTCCTCGATGTCCTCCTCTTCGTCCTCTATGATTGTGGCCATCAGTGGCTCACACTCTCCCACTGTCTCGTCGATGCTATCACACATTTCATTTTCCGCAACCTCTTCCCAACTATCCTCTTGATCTGCATCCACCTGTATAGCAGGGACTGCGACTATTCCATCTCCATACTCCTCGTCTTCAGTCTGATAACCCTGCCGGATCAAATTATCAACGGGTGTAGTATGCTTGTTCATGAAGCATGCGAAGCAAAGCGTCATCGACGTGAGGATCAAGCTAGGTACCTTGGCTTTTCCCTCCAACAGTCGTCGACATTCTCGGCACTTGTATGTCCTATTCGAGACATGCTTGATGCCGATTCGCCGCCTATCCTCATCTCTATTCCTCCTTGCTCTCAGCCCATGATCCACACTATCCCTGTCTCTTTCCCTCGCACGGGCCTCTCTTGCCCAGATTGCTTTCTTGCTCTCCCGATGTGCCCTACGATGTCTCACTTCCTTCACGTTCTCAGGCATCATGCACCCGCGCATCCTCGGCCGTAGACATACTCCCTTAGCGAATTCCATTCTCATGATTGGCCCCCCTCCTCCTCCAAACGTGATGGGAAAGCTATTTCTATTCTGTATAGCCACCAGGATCTCTCGCTCAGGTGATACCTCGTATCCTATGACGTCGCACATGGTTTCTGCCACAAGCTGCCCGAGCGCAGACACTCTTACACTGGTGCCAGGATCTTCCGGATACGCTATCCCAGTACGAACCCAGGTGTATCCTATCAGTGGAACATGGATGTCGTCCTTTAGTTCGAGGACTAGTGCGTTTCTCTCTGCCTCCCACATGACTATGTTGCATTCGCCCTTCTCCATAGTTTCGAGGTTAATGGTTTCGGCGTGTCCGGCCCTGAAGAATGCCTCATCCACCGGTTCCCGTTCCTCTTCCAAGTCTGACAGCGTCCATCCTTCCGAGTCAAACACATCGCTCTGGTCGTCGAATCCGGAGCTTTCCTCTCTATCTTGGTCGTGGCGTCGATCTGTGTCGCTGTTCTCCCTCTCCCCGATCAGCACTATATCCATCCGTCGCCGTTCATGTCTCCCACCTCGAGCTCTTCTCCAGGGTAAGCTACTGCGGCCCCTCCGGTACTATGTCTGATGCGGCGACTGTTCGGCTTCATCATCATAACCTTGCCTATGTCGTCGCCGTCGACCAGGATCACGCGCAGGTCTTGTATGTGTTTCGCTCGGGGTCCGAAGATCTCCCCCATTGCCTCTCGGCCAGGATTGTTCATAACTATGCATCTTTTCCATCTGGTCTCCTCACGACTGATGTATGGTGCCCCATCCTCGGCCGCCGCAGCAGCATAGTTCCTTACCAGCGTCTGATCTTCTCTATCCGTAGCATCGTCGACGTGCTCGTCGTTCCCTCCATGTCTATCACCCAATACGAGTTTCCTCCGTTCATTCTTCTCTTGGCTATCTTCAACAGCTTCTCTAGTGATCCCCCAGTCTCATCGCCTCTAATCGTTCCCTTTTCCAGCTGTGCCAAGGAGTCCACGTCCAGTGTCACCATACCACTGCTATATCCGAGATAGTCTCCCTCGTGTTCTTCACATGCCATCGACACCGAATCACCCTCTTCCTCGCCGCAGATGTCTATCACGTCCTTTATCACCTTGATCATTTCGCGTATCGCTTTACCCTCCTGCTCTCGCCGTACGTCTATTTTCGCGTCCGATGTCCTCACTATGCGCGACATCAAGTCATGATCCCTTGGCATGTGATCGCATGCTAACATGTCCGCCGCGATCGCATTCATCATGCATGGTGTGACGACTCCTATGTAACACGACGCGTCTACCCCGTCATGCATACCCAGCATGCATCCATCACTCCGCACTATCCACATGTCCCAGGCAAGCGCCATTCGAACAATGGTCTCGTCAGCCATTCGACTTTTACCGCCTATCCAGATGATCGTGGCCACTATTCCTCTGCTGTTGGCGTCTGTGATAACCTTTTCTACATTGCCAAATACTCTTTCTCGAGCCTCTCGCGTACTATCTAGGCCTTCCTCACGTCTCCACCCGGATGCCTTCCGATCAACCTCTGTCCTCATGCCGTCGCTAGACGCATCGATAGCAATGACCACATCCGTCACACCCTCTCCTATCACGCATCCTTCCCCCGATATCCAAGATACGTTCTCACCTCCGTTACCCCCGATCTCTTCTATTCCGACCCCCATGATCTGCACTTTAGGCTGTTCGCCCAACTCCCTCATCATTTCCCCAACGATGTTGTCGGACGGCGTTCGCGCTATTCCAGCTGTGCTGCACAATTGGTTGATGGTTTTCGTAACCTCCTCAGTATCCCCCATCCTGGACGCCGGTGCAGCAGGTTCTGCTGATTCTCCTCTATCCCTGATTCGTCGGTCTTCTCCTCCGTCGGGGATGTACCAGAACTCCGTGATGATGTCCCTGGGCACAACGAATCGGTATCTCCCTCTATTGCGCATCATCTCTGCCTGTATACAAGAGTCGTACTCAATGGATTCTAAGACCTCTCCAGTATTAGCGCTCCGAGTGACCCTCCACCAGAGCTCAAGCCGTCTTTTGTCCCTTCCGCCATAGAATCGGTAGGATGTGGCGCGATTGTTTCTTACTGCCCATACTCGGCCACCCTCAGGCATTCCCGGTGGGGGATCCCATCGGTACTCCGGCGGTGAGAATTCCTGGCCATGGTCGGTGATTTTCTCCATCCATTCTCGAACTCCAATTTCTGCGGGACGCGGTCCTATTTCCTCTTGCCCTCGAACGGCCGAAGGGGGCCTCTCTCCTCTGATGATCCTCTCTTTGTCTCCCTCGATATAACGTAGTCGCTGTCCCGGGCTCATCCTATTCCACTCTGCTGACGAAATGGAGTTGGGTTTGTGAGATCTCGCGTACGGCCGCTCTATTCTGGGCATGTCTTGTTCGTAGTCTAAACCCACCCCCCGTATACCCGTCGCCTTCTCTCCCCGCGCCCGCTCCTTGGCTTCATCATCTATCTCTCCCTCAGGCTCCCCCTTTTCCCAGAACGTAGTGCACCCCGTCCATTTCTTGGTGATCTTCTTCTTGCCCTTCATTCTATCCTCATCCAGCACCTCCGATGTACCATCGGCGTACACTATCCACGTTCGCCTCCTTGGACCCAGCTCTCTATCCCCGGGGCCACCTGTACCTTTGACCTCCTCGCCTGGGGTACACAGCTCCTTTCGGGGTAAGATGTGATGAAGCGTCCACGAATGGTCTATCTCATCATGTTCCCAGAAATCCCCGTTTTGAAGATGCTGATCGTCGCACTTAATTTGTCTCATCACATCGGCTCGTACCCTTCTCTCCTCTGCGAAGATTTCCTCCGTCTCCTCTCCTTGCTGCCCCTCTCTCTCCAGTTCCAATCTGGCCAGGGCATCAGCTCGAGTCGCTGTCATGATTCTCGACTTCCTATCAGCCACAGCTTGCATCGGGAAGTAGTTGGGCATCTCCTCGTCAAGTACTATCCTCTTCACGCGGTGTATCGACGGTACCGTCCATCCGTGATACAGGTGCGCCAGCTCAACCACTATATAGTCTCCGCTCGGAACACCCCCTGGTTGGAGCGCGTAACCTAGGAACAATCCGGGTGATGTCGGAGTGTCGAACTTCGCCTTGGATGCCATGGCATACGCTTGCTCTTCCTCGGCGTCGTGATCTACATATTCTTCCCCATCCCCACCATCGTCTGCACACGCTGCCTGGCATAAGCCATCCGCTAATGTCGCAAAGTGCTCATCCAATCTGAAGCCCAGCCTCATCAACTTCCACTTGTCGTCCACAGATGCCTTTTTACCCGCTGCCAGGGTATATCCCACCGCTATCACTCTATCCTCCGGCGCCAAGGCATCTTCGGTAGCATGCCAAACTCTTGGATTGAACTTTAGCCCACTATCCACCTTCCGAGTCCTTCCCCATATCCATTTTCCCGGAAGCACCTCTTTCTCTATCCCGGCGGCCTTGCCACCCTCACTCGCACACTGTTCCTCTTCTGTCCAGATCATAGCTTCGCCCGCCCTCTCGCTTACCGGTACAACAAAGTTGTATGTCTGGCTCTCGTTAAACTTGTCCTTGTGAGGCCCCATCCTGGTTCCGACAGACACAATCACCGTTGTAAAAGTAGCTTCTGGGAAGCATTTTGCTATCAGCTCGCAGCACACCATGGCTATCCCCGGATACTCTTTGGCACTATTCGTAACGCCAACCTTTCCTCCGTACGCATACAGCCCCAGGACTATGAACCCTCTACCGGTGGCCATGCTCCGCGAATTCTTCGCTATTCCTTTTTCTACCGAAGTGAACTTCAGGATGATGTCCTTTGCATGCTGCACATCAAAGTCCTGCGTCATGACCATGTCGAGCGCACGTCTATCGATCTCTCTCAGCTCTTCCTCCCTTTGCAAGCGTTGTTCTTTAGTTTCCTTCGTTTCAGAGGGCAAGGCCATGCTCGAAACATCTTCATCAGCTCCGAGAATCTCAAGAGCGTCATTTTCAGGATCCCCCCGTTCGAGCAGGGCCGCGTCCTCTTTGCCAGCTTTTCTAGGCTTTTCGGCAATGGGGAGGTAGTTAACAAGTGCCCCGAAAGGAATCAGTTTCACTTTGTCTTGCTCGTTGCCATGTCTTTTCCCGTACGGGCTTACCCCGTCCACTTGTTGTACGTTCCTATGGAAGCAGAACGTCTGCACAGCGTACGGCCACCACTTCGGTTCTAGTCCTGCTTGTCTCAGCAATACTCTGCCACCGTAGATTACTTCTTTGACCTTGAGCTCCGCTATGCTATTCGTTCGGGGTAATCCGGGTGTAGAAGTCGCCCTGCAAGTTCCTATGACGTCGCAGGCTTTTGAGAATTCACCGGCTCCGTCTGCGTACAGATGCACTACCATATCTGGGCCTCGGAACTCATTGATAGCTCGCACAAACTCATCCGTTCCCCTGGACTTTACGGGCGTGCAGTGTATCCACTGTGTCTTGAAGTCGAACATCACGATTGCATTGTTTTCTCCGCGGATTCCCTTGTCTTTGTTGCTGCGAAGAACTATCGTGTCAGCAGTGACCCTCTCCCCGAACTTCTCGGCGCCCTTGTCTGTGATGCCTTCGCCCCTGTTGAAGGGGACGTTTATTGCTTTGCCTTGTCGACAAGCAACGCAGTGCATGTTCTTTGGGAGATGCGTGAGCAAATGTTCCGTCGATTTTGCATACTCCGGTGAGTATCTTGCTCTCCGGATGCTCACAGTTTTGCTCGACCCTATCCCTTCGCCAATTCTATCCGCAACTCGAACCTGATCCGCAGGTCCGTCTTCTGCCTTTGCTTGTTCCACTTCTCCCATGTCACCGGCGCTATCATCCTTCTGAGGCTCTCCCACTCCTCTTCTAGCCTGTTCTTCATCGGCTATTCCTGGCAAATCTATATCATCATCCAATTCGCCTCCGTTTTCGGCGCTTTCTTCCTCGCCGGGTACAGCGACGACTTGCTCCGCGATCCTTAGGTCGTCATCCGGACTCTTCTTCATTCCGTGGATGAGCTGAAACTCCGCATCCGTCATATTGCGTGCGCTTTGCCCCGCCTCAATCTGCTCAGGACTCAAAGCTCTTTCACAAAAACCGCATACCCCGGATGAATCGGCCTTACACGCGGCGCAGTAGAACGTCGTTCTCAGTCGACCGTCACCATCGTCTTGTTCTGTCGTTGTCTCCCTATTCCTCTCGTCTATCCCCTTTTCGACCACTGATGAAATTCGGTGGTGCTTACGCATAGTCTCCTTGATGGCTCGCACTAATCCCGGCGCCCACTCCGACCAGTTTTGTGACTCGCTCATCTCGCCCTTGCTTCTATCATTGCCATCGTTCGTCGCTCCGGTCCCTGGTCCTCTAAGATTGACCGCCCATCCTATCAACTCTGCGTCAGTCGCTATCGTTGTCGGCTTTTTCCTAGAGTGTCCCATCGGTCCCTGATCAAAACTGAACAGCTTCGTTCCTAGGATGGCACTCGTCCTATCCCATTCTTCTGTCGCCCACAATGATGCGTATCCCCCTTCTGGCGTATCATCCCAATACGTCTCGGGGTCCTGGGGCTGCTCAATGAGACACATCGTTGGGGCTCTCAATCGTCGGTGACGTGCCTTTCCTATCACCACAAGCATGCACACGCGCAGTATGATGATATCGTCGTCACGGCATTCCTGCTTCTGTGCCCAACTGATAAATGAGTATCCCCACCTCTCCGGTCCATTCCTCGACCTAAGCGGAATCGGACCAGGCCTTCTGTATCTCATCACGGACCTCGTTCTGCAAGGCGGTCCGGCTAGCCAGCAAAAAACCAAATTGGTTGTGGCCAGCTTCACTAGCCACCACCATGTATCAGATCGCAGCACGTTCTCCTCCATGTCGATGTCTATCACACTCATTCCTAATTCACTTGCGATGTCATCAAACTTTCCCCTTGACTTTCCACAACAAATGTGCACAATAACCCTTCTGCTCCCTTCAATCGCTTTCCTTATCTTCATGATTTCAGGTCTCGTTTCTCCCTGGGGTTTATGTGCCTTTCCGCCGTCAAGTATCTCTTGAGGAGCAAGTGGCCATAAACACCTGGCTATCTCGACTAGCGTCTCTGCCTCGCCACCGGTACCGATGTTCTTGTCCAGCATCATCATCAAGTCATCTAGCCCCGCGTTTTCGTCCGCAGCCATTCTATTCAAGATATGTTTTCTCACCTTCGCGCTATCGCTCTGCACCGCTTCTCCTGCATCCGCTCCTTCGAATGTGAGCCCTTCTATCTTGAACATGGTCTTGCCTGTCCATAAGTCCTTCTCCGCGTCTCTACTCTCTCCCTCATTGCACTTATCCACCCAGTCTATCCATTCCGCCACGGTTTTGCCACCTTCGTACACACGTTTGGATCTACACCGCTCGGCGAATCGCGGTACAAGTGCATGTATCTCTGGGAATTTCAGTGTCTCAAACCATGGATCGCAAGCCTTCGTTCTTGGTTTGTTGTGGAAACACACCGCCTTATTACCCGTTAACATCCACTTGTCTAGTAGCCTCCCGTCGTCGTTGGCGGCCTTTCCTATCGGTTCCTCTTCGATGTCTCTATCCGTGTCCGAGTCCACGCTTTTGGGACTACATTCATCCTGTTTCTCTCCGATCCTCCTCGGACTGGAATTTCCTCGCACGGGCAATTCAATCGCAAGAGGCGCTGGCATAGCAGGATAGATGTGATAGTCACTCCGCTCACTTTCACTAACGACCGTTGACATTCTATCCACCATGTATGGGATATCCCCGATGACTTTCAGTACTATCAAGCTCGAATCAGGCTTGACGAACACGGGGTTCGCGCCCGCCAGCCAATGGAACGAATATCCCATTTTCATACATCTCCTCCCCATCGATAGAACAGCGGGAGTACTCTCGAGCATTCTAATCCTCATCGTCTCAGGCATCCCTTGAATATCCATGCATATTTCTTGCTTTGACGTGGTGTTGCCGTTGGCGGTGTTGAACCGCACTTTCTTCGCCTCAATAGCCATATCTTTTTCATCCTGGGTGAGGTCTGCCTCTGCTATCAGATCCATAGCGCACCCCGAGTCTATCATCCATCGTCTCATTACCGATGGCAAACAATGCTGTGCAGACGCCGCCGGTTGACTATCCTCTCGACTATCCACGCGGAATCTCTCGTCGACTATACCTATTCTCCTGCATTCCTCCACTATCCTATCAGCCAGTCTTGAAGCATCCTTACCTTCCTCGCCTTGCTCTCCGGCAAGTATGTCCAGCACGACCTCTTCGGCTAGGGATATTCCTCGTAGCCTTGCCTTTGCCTCCTCAATCACGGGATATCGTTTCACATCATGTACATACCCCTTCTTGTGTACGTTTTTGCACTTTCGTACCATCTTGTCGGCTGTGTGTCCTTTCCAATAGCATATATCCAGTCCTGCTATCCCCGTCTCTTCGGAGCCCAACCCCTTGACTCGCCTATTACCCTTCCTCACTCGCTCCCTGCCTGTCGCTGTCACCAGTATTCCCCTAAGCGTGCCTTCGGCGCTATCATCCCCTTGTCGTACCACAGGCATGGCCGCATATACCTGACTATCATCGCTGGCCTGTGGGTTTCGGCCCGCCCCTAGCGAAAACTCGGCCCTTCACCATCAGCATGTGGACTCGATGGCCTCGTCTCCTTCTGTTCTATCTCTACTGTCTCAAATGCCTCCCTAATGCTATTCGGGATAGCCTCATGGAGCATTTTACATTTGTCATTTCTACAGCTGCCATACCGAAAATGCTCAAAGCAGTATCCCGCCTTCTTGAGGACCTCTTCCGCCTGACTATACAGATAGATATCGTGCGAATGCTTGCAGTCCGCCGCAGTCATCGGGCACGTTCCACGCGTATAGGGGTAGCAGACCCCTCTCTTTCCAAACGGCGACTTGGATCCATATCTATTCTTCGGGTCGTCAGCTCTCCCCGCCTGCGAAAGTCCGTCCCTGCCTCTTCCCACAGATATCCCTCTTCCGTAGCCATTTCCCCCTGCGGGCGATGAACTCCTCGGTCTATCATCAGTGTACGCGCTTCTTCTATTCACCGGCGCTCTATATGATCCCTGCTGAGCCGGCATCGCGGCATATCCACTCGTGAACGCCTGTCGACTCACCCGCATTGAGGCCTCGTCTATGTTCTTGTCCGCTCTCCACATCTCCAGTCTATCCTTGATTCTCTTTCGCAACCAGGTGTGCGTCTTGGCCTCGTCCGGAAGCACTCTCCATGCCTCAATATCGTGGTTCAGCACCTGAACTCTCTGCACCTTCGAATGCAACATCCATCCCAGCTGTTGCTCGCTCCAGGTATTGCCTTTCAGCCCTACAAGGTTCGTGTGCGCCAGATCCCATCTAGTCATGAACTCCTCCAGTGCCTCCTCTTCGGGCTTCCCCGGGAAATGCATAACCTTCGTGCTGCTCAGACCATCGTACAGCACCTGACTCTCTTTAGCTATCGGGATCTCAACATGCTTTACTATCAGCGTAAGCAATCTCATGGCCGTCATCGGTTTTCCATCTCCCACTTGCTGAGTCTTGTACATCTCCATCTTCACCTTCGCTGACAATGACTCTGACTTTATTGCTCTCTTCAATCCGCTAAACAGCTGGTTCTCTAGCGCAGGGTACTTGAGTTCCATGTCTATCATCGCTTCGCTCCTTTCGCGTACCTTCAGTACCTGCGTGTATGCATAGTCCCCATCATACAGATACGCAGCCTTCGCGGTATGTGCCACATCGCCCAGCCACAGTCCTACTTCTCCGGATGATGGCTCCTTCGCTATCGATATCTCGTTGCATTTCTCCATCCCTCTGGTGTCCTTAAACTTGCTGTATCCTCCTCCTACCGGATTCCTGAATCTGGCATCGTCCCCCTCATGATCGCGTCCACTCTGCGGCCTCGGAAGTCCTGTCCCTGCATATCCTCCGGCATCGCATCCCCTTCTATCAGTGGAGCACAGCATGCACAAGTCATCATGGTACTCATAGCAATTACCACACACTTCTCTTCCGCAGCCATGGCATGCAATCATCATTTCTGCTTGTCTAACACACACAGGGCACCTTCTAATCCTAGTCTCTTCCCCCAACAGACCTCCATCTCCTTGTCTATCCTTTCTTCCATGCTCTCTTCTATCCCCAAACGAACTTGGCGCAGGCGTGGCACCGGCACTTGGTCTTGCGGAGCCAGCGTTCGAAGCACCTCCCGCACCCGGCGCTGGCATGGCGTACTCGGAGCTTTGCTTGCCGATCTCACCGATTCTATGCCACATGCTATCCAGCTCTGCTTTAATGCTATCGTTTCGTTTCACCTGCTCCAGTCTCCGTTCATACTCTCGTACCGTTGCCTCCAACTGCTCGTTCTTCTCTTTGAGTTCAAGCATTTCTCTACTACGAAGATCGAGATCCGCTCTCTTTTTGGATACCTCATCTCTATTATCCCGAATCATCCGCGCTACCGACTCTGTCACTCCTTTGTTCTCCCCCTTCATGCTTTCTATCTCACTGAGCAGGCTAGCGTTCTCCCTCACGATCCGCTCATTCACAGTGGTCAACCCCTGCAATTGACTAGTGATCTTGGTCACCTGCTGTTCTAACACAATGCATCTATTCTCAATCCTTCGATCTACCACAGGACCTGCCGACTCCGGCCTCGAAGCCTCTATTCCTCGGGCATTGTCGCTCCTGGCTCTTCCGTCGGCTCCCCCACTCCCACCGTGACTATCTCGTCCGCGTGACATGGTCGGTGGCTTTCCTATCTCCGCGCTGTTTCCTCGCATCTTGCCTACCCCTTCGTTCCGTGCGCTCTCATCAATTCGAGCATTGACAAGGATAAATTCGCCCGTGACTCTCTTCTGCTCATCTATCATACGGCTCGACATTGACTCCATTGTCTTTTCCATCTTTCGCACGGTATCCTTCACCCAGGCCTGTTCTCCGTTTCTCTTCTCATCCATCCGATCGGTCCTTGCCGCGACATTCTCGCAAGTCTTGTGAACCTTTGTCATGTTCGCCACAATCTCAGCCACGCTTTTGCGGTTCTTTATCACCTCTCTCGCGACGGTCATTATGTGTTCCTTCTGCGCCAGAACCACTTCACTCAGCTTCTTGGTTTCGCCCCGCACTGCCCCATCTATGCACGTGCCGTGACCCTCGCCAGGTTCTCTGCATCCGCATCCAGGACCTTTTCCTTGGCTGTGGCAATGGGACGACGATGCCGTATCTGTTCCGGCTTTCTGACTCCCCTTGGACTTCAGCTTCCTTAGTTCCTCGCCCGCTATCTTGATCTGGTCCCATTGTCTATTCAAAACCGTCTCTACTTTATCCAGTCTCTCGTTCTTCCATGTTCCATTCTCGTGTCGCATTTGCATGCTCGAGAAGACTACACCTATGCCACGTCTCACCTCGTTCAATCCTGTCTCTAATGTGGTGATCTTCGTCCCGGTACTCTGTTTGGCCGCGTCAGTGGAATGCTCCGCCGTGGACAATCGTTCCTCCACTCCCTTCAATCTAGTCGTAACAGAGGTCTTGAGCACCTTCACGTTCTCAACCTGCCGTCTCATTCTCCGTGCGAGCTGCATGGCTCCCTCGGTCAGTTGCGGTGCCATTGCATCGTCCATTCTATCCTCGCTGATGCTCCCGTCCATGATCCGACTCATCTCTTTCAACTCCTGCGACAGCGTTGTCTTGGTATCTATCTGCTGCGACTCTATCCATCCTTTCCAGTGCTTCACCTCCTCCTCGCATTCCATCAATCTCTTGCTCACGACGTCCGCCTTTTCCGCTGAGCTATTAGCAATTGCACTTGCACATTCGCTTGCCACCTTAAGCTTGGCTACGTCGGTCTGCGTGTCCACAACCACCGTCTGTAAGTCATCTATCCTGCCATCTATCTCTCCCAACGACGACTTGTCCGGATCAGCAGGAGCTCTCATCTTTGCCCGCCTGGGTGGGGATGATGTTGCCCTCATCTCATCGTTCCTGCCTCGTCCTTCAGGAGGAGTATTGATCCCGAAATGTTCGTACTGCCCACCTATCCCAGGAGATCGTGGAGCCGGGGATCGATTGCCCCATCCCTCGCTACCCTGATCCGGGGTGATCATTCCTGCCTGATGGATCGGTCCCCCAATTTCTGTCGATTTCGACTTCTTGGCTGCGGGGACGCTCTCGGCTATCTGGTTCATCTCCTTAACGGCCTGCTCCGCTCGTTGCTTACGCAGTCCCTCATCCATCTTGCCTATCTTGCTGGTGGTACCAACTCCATTTTCCGATCCACCCGGGCTATCCCTCTTCAATGATGTAGATCGACCACCTGAGTGTCCACTATCCGACCCCATCGACATCTTTCGTGACCTGTCTTTCTCTACCCCTGCGATCTCGGCACCATATATCCCAGCGTTCCACCGTTCCTGCGAATCCGATTGCATCGTCATGGGCGTTGATCCAGGCTCTCCTGGTCCCTGATCTGTGAAGAACTTCGCAAAGTCCACGTCAGTGATGACCCCCGTTTCCTCGAGAGTACTCCGGATTCCATGGGATCCCCACTCTATTCCGATCGTCGTAGTCTGACCCATCCCCACATCTTTCAACGCTTCAACGTTCCCGCCTGGTGATGCCTCCGAGAGACCTGTAGATGAAAATACAGACAGTGCTCTATCATCGCTCTCACTGATCACGTTCTGCGCTACCGCTGACGATCCCTTAGCTATCAACTCCAGGTCTGTAGGATCGGCACCGACATTCCCAATCATGGTCGCACTATTCGAATACACTCCTGGAACGAGATCATCTCCATTCCCTCTGCCCATCCAATGTCCGCTATCCGCACTTCTCGTTCGATCGCCCTCAGCACCGAGCTCGCCACTAGGCATCATCGCATCTATTCCATCATCATTCCTCCTGATCGTCCTATCATGATCCGACGATGATGACACTGCAAGGCTATCCACTCTGTCCTCGATCGCCATTTCTAACCTGGAACCAGTGATTCCCTTGGCACCTCCCGTTGACTCGTAATTCGTCCCGTGGGACACAGGCTCGGAGGGGATGACGAACGGTCCCTCTTCCATCCTTCCATCTATTCCAGCCAGATCCTCGATAGCAAGCGTCGGAGTCCTAGCGTTTCCCGCTTCTATCCCACCTCTTCCGGCCCTATACTCATTTAAATCTGTAGCTCCCATAACTGGATCAAACACTACAGGACTGCTTGCAAGCATGCTGAGCTGCATTACGGCATCCCCTCTATCGGCGATTGATGGGATAGCAAGCAGCTCCCGCAATCCTTCGCCTGCGTCATTCCCCTGAGTGCCTGACATATCCGCTATCCCGGCATAGCCCAGTCCTTCCGATCTCCCTATTCTATCCATCGTCGCCACAATCTCCAAGTTTCTATCCGTCAGTCCTGGGGGTGGTCCTGGCACTAACATACTATCCGCAGCGCTCGACCTAACGTCTACAGTAAGCGGTCCTGACAATCTGAGGCCGAGGCGATCTCTATCAGCATTATTATCCATCTCCACTCCTGTCCTTCCACTATTCCGTCCGTCGTCGATGAAGCTCATGGTCTCGGCGTCGGCTATGCTTCTCACATGACTATCAACGGCGGCCACATCCTGATTGACCGCAGTGACCTGGTCCTCGAGGAATCTATTCCCTGTTCCTAACACATCACTATCGCTAGACTCACTGCTCCCAATGCTATCACGTGTGGACATTGCTGCAGTCAATGAACACAAATGACAAATGCAGAAAACTTCGCTATGCAAGTGGTACCTCTTCGCTATACCAAGAAAAACTTCTCGAACAGCTCGTCCAGGCCAAGCAACAAGGCTCTTAACCTGTGCGAAGTGTCCAAACCAATGAAAACTTGCGCAACCCGTTCCAGTAACTAGCTCAGGCCACACGAGGAGAAAGAAGTTGTATATTTACAGTTGTAGGTTGTAATGTTGCACCAGAAGTAACAGTATCCCTGTCAACGGGGAACTCAAGGTAGCTAGCCAATCGTTCCGAGCCACTCCCGACGTTAACTATCGGAAGGATCCCCAGAGTTGCTATCTCCAGGGGGTGGTAACCTATCGCTCTAGATGTATCCACTAGCCGTCCGGCTGCGTGTTGTACACCTATCCCGATATTCACCTGAACAGCCACCTGCCCTCAGTATCCTCCGGCCTCCGGCTATGAGTTGTAAAGAGAACAGATAACTATCCCGAGGTTAGGGAAAAGGATCTATTCCTCGTCGACGCTCGACCCTTTTGGCTCCTCTTTCCTCCGGATGCGAGTTGGCCAGTCAGGTCCACAACGTACAGGAATACTATCCACGGGGGCGAAAACTGTACAAGTTCGGCTGCTACAATACTAGAAGGGCCCTTCTTGAGCAGCTTACAGCTGCGAATGGACATAAAATCATGTCCACTATCCAGGCTTGTCCACGACGAAGTCGATGTCTATCCCGGGCCCGAACCCAAAAGTCACATGTACATCAAATCAGCACCCCATGGAATTAACTTGACCTCTTTGTGCTAGAAGAGGGTTAAGAAGGGTTCCCGTTCTAAATATTAATGCCCTAAATTAAAGCCTGAACCCTAACCCTAAAACTCAAAACTCCAAAGCCCTAAACCCTAAACCCCTAAACCCCTTGACCCTAAACCCCAAAACCCTTAACCCTTCTAAATATTAAGGCCCCTATGTTAAATCCAAAACCCAGACCCTAACCCCCTGACCCCCGAACCCTAAACACTAAACCCCTAAACCCCTAAACCCCTAAGCCCATAAACCCCCAAACCCCTAAACCCTAAACCCTAAACCCTAACCCCTAAACCCTAAACCCTGAACCCCTAAACCCCTAAAACCCTAAAGCCTAAACCCTAAACCCTAAACCCCTAAACCCCTAAACCCCTAAACCCTAAACCCTAAACCCCCCCAAACCCCCAAAAACTCCCCCAGAGGCTCCAGGAACTGCTCCCCTGAACCCTGAACCCTGAACCCTAAACCCTAAACCCTAAACCCTAAACCCTAAACCCCCCAAACCCCCAAACAGAGGCTCCAGGAACTGCTCCCAGATCCGATCCGCGGCAGCCCCCCCGAGCCCTGCGGCGGGGCCCTGCATCGCCTTTCGGGTTTAGGGTTTAGGGTTTAGGGTTTAGGGTTTAGGGTTTAGGGTTTAGGGTTTAGGGTTTAGGGTTTAGGGTGCAGGGTTTAGGGTTTAGGGTGCAGGGTTTAGGGTTTAGGGTTTAGGGTTTAGGGTTTAGGGTTTAGGGTTTGGGGTTTAGGGTTTAGGGTTTAGGGTTTAGGGTGCAGGGTTTGGGGTTGAGGGGTTTGGGGTTTATTATTTGGGGTTTGGGGGTTTGGGGTTTGGGGTTTGGGGTTTGGGGTTTAGGGTTTAGGGTTTAGGGTTTAGGGTTTGGGGTTTGGGGTTTGGGGTTTGGGGTTTAGGGTTTAGGGTTTAGGGTTTAGGGTTTAGGGTTTAGGGTGCAGGGTTTGGGGGCCTCGGGTTCCAAAGAGCCTGGGGCTGAGGGAGGCTTAGAGTTGTTTTCGATTCTTCGGCGAGGAGGCGGGGGGCTTAGAATTCAGGATTTTGGGTGGGGCTGAAAGGTGAGAAATTTGGGGTTTGGGGTTGGGATCTAGGGTTACCCTAAACCCTAAACCCTAAACCCCAAACTCGCGCTCAGCCTTGCACACGTTTACCTGGGGTCGTTGCTGCAACCCTAGGAGGGGTCAGAAGGGTTTTGCTAAACCTCTGGGGCTTAGGGGTTAGAGTTTAGGGTTGGGGGTTAGGGTTTATAGGGTTTAGGGTTCAGGGTTTCAGAACCACCGAAAAAACCACCCGAGACCACCCAAAAACCCTCAAATGACATGTCAGTGAAGCCTTAGATCCCGAAATTGCTGTCAACGCCCCACCCCGCCCCCAAACCCCCGAAAAAATCCTGAAAACTCCTAAGCACCTCTTTAAACAAGCCTTCCCCCAAGCCCTACAGCCCTTTACGAAAACCCTCCGCCTAAACCCTAAAACCCACCCCAAACCTCGAACCTCAAACCATGTCATTAAACCCTTTAACTAAGGTGTTTACAGGGTTAACAAAAAAAAACGCGAAAAAAAAAAAAAAAAAAACTAAACCCTACAACGACCATACCCTCTACCGAAAAGCCCCCCAAAGCCCTGGACGCTGCAAACGTGCTGGAAGCCTTCAGGGCCTCTCGCAACAGCCGCACCTGCACAGGAGATGAAAATAAGGCGCCTACTACGTGAAGGTTCCTGGGGGCATGTCAGGGGTTTAGGGTTTGGGGTTAGGGTCTTGGGCTGTAAGTACCTTGCATAAGCTCCAAGGTCTAACATCAGCTGCCTGACTTAGACTCTACTTACCAACAGCTTTTGTGCACTCTGCATACGGACTACAGGGCAACTCGCACGAATCCTCATCCTAAACCCCAGATCCTAAGGACACCCCGGTGTTTGGAGCTTGGGGTCGAGGGGTTGAGTGTGAGGCAGCAGCCGTTCATGCTTCGCGCTGCCCGCCAGTCGTTCGAACTCTCCTTAGGGTTTTAGGGTTTAGGGTTTAGGGATGTTTAGGGTTTAGGGCCCGACACCCCACATTCAAAAATTCCCCCCTAAACCCTGAAGCTCTTGAAAGCCGAGAAACGCCGAGCCCGAAACCCCACATGCCCGGAGAAAGCCCCAAAAACTTCCAAATCCGAAGCCCCGAAACTGCACCCACAAGAGCCCGTTTCCCCGAACTGACCTTGACACTGACACCCCAAAAGTAACTCACAGCACCCTGTAACATGCCAAAACAAACACCCACACACACATACAATAGATATATATATATATATATGTGTGTGTGTGTGTATGAAAATGTCAAAGTCCAAAAAATGAAGAGGTACCCTCAAGGCAGGCACATGTAGTGGCTAGACCCTAGACCCTGAGCTTGGGATGTTTTTCCCTAGTACTAGCGTAAAAGGAGGAGCACATCCCAACCCTGAACCCTTAAGAGCCTAAACCCTGAACACTGAACCCTGTACCCTGAACCCTAAACCCTGAACCCTGAACTCTAAACCCTAAACCCGAAACTCTAAACTCTAAACCCTAAACTGAACCCTGAAACTCTAAAAACGCTCAGGTGGCCTGGTCTTCAACGCCAAAGTTGTTGAAGGCCAGCAGGGCCACGCCCGCAACAGGCTGGGCGCGCTCCTCGGTTTCGGTTTTACTGTTTAGGGTTTGGGGTGTGGGGTTTAGGGTTTAGGGTCAGGGTGTAGCCCTAAGGCTGCAAAATAGACCAAAGTAGGTATGACCTACAGACTTTAGACCCCCCATGTAGGTATTATTGGTATGCTTGGAGCCTTAGGGTAGGGGTTCAGGGGCTCAGAGTTGCGGAGTTATTGCAGGGCCTACAGTTAAAGTTTGAGGGTTGAGGGTTTAGGGTTTAGGGTCTAGGGTCTAGGGTTTAGGGTTTAGGGTTAGTTTAGGGTTAGTTTAGGGTTAGTTTAGGGTTAGTTTAGGGTTTAGGGATTGGGGTTTAGGGTTTGGGGTGTTTGGGCTTCGTTGGGGCATGGGGCTTTGATTATCGAATGTGGGTTTGTCTGGCGGCGTCAGAGGCTGCCCCAAAACATACAAATCTAAACCTTAAAACCCTGAACCCTGAACCCTGAAGCCTGAACCCTAAACCTGAACCCTGGACCCTGAACCTGAACCCTAAACCCTAAACCCTGAACCCTAAACCCTAAACCCTCAACCCTGAACCCTAAGCAAAAAACCCTACGAAGGCCCAGAGTAGGCCCGTATTCCCTTTTTATTGGCTTAGGTTCCCTTATGGAGCCTCTTGGGGAGTTTGGGGGTTTAGGATCTAGGGTTTAGGGCTTAGGGTTTAGGGTTTAGGGTTTAGGGTTTAGGGTTTAGGGTTTAGGGTTTAGGGTTTAGGGTTTAGGATCTCAGGGCTTCGGGTTCAGGGTTTTAGGGGTGGTTTCGGGTTTAGGGTTTAGGGTTTAGGGTTCAGGGTTTGGGCCTTAGGGCTTAGACACCTTGGAGCTGATGAGGGGCTCCCTGCATGCCCCTGGGTCCCCTACCTGGCAGCGAAGGAGGACCTGGCGCTCTCTGGAGAAGCTCGGGTTCGGGGCTTTTGGGGTTTAGGGTTTGGGGTTCGGGTTATGGGGCTTGGGGTTTGCGGCTTGGCGCTGAGTTTAGGGCTTTTGGGAGAGTGAAGCTTTTGATTCTAGAGCTTAGGTAGGGCCTTTCGGGACCTGAAAGCTCTCAACAACCCTCCGACAGCAACTGAAAGCACCCCTCCTCTGACTCCGACAGCCCAAGACTCATGTGACCAGCCCTAATTGTGCCTTTAGGGTTTAGGGTCTAGGGCTGGGGTAGTCAAAGGGATAGCATCGGAAAACATGATGAACTATCAACCCCAAACTCCTATAAGCCCATAAAGATCTAGAGCACAAACGTCCCAGCCCTAAACATCATACCCTGGAGCCAAGAACAAACCGATCAAGCCTGCAAGCCCGAAACCCTCCAAAGCCTCAAAACCTAAAAACTGCACTGTAGAACTGCAAAAGAAGATATGCAGTTCTCTGTATAAGATATCTATATATATGTATATTATACCACTCCTACGTGACCCAAAACCCCAAAACCGTAAAAAGCCTTAAACCCAGAATCACATCTCAATCCCTGAGCCGCACCTCAATCACAAGCTCCATCCACTTGAGAAAATCCAGAGAA